CTGAAAGTCTAGGAGACTGGTGTTGTGGTACTCGGCTGGTTTCAGCCTCATGTCATAACAGATCTTGGAGATGACAAGTATTTTGCTACTGGACTGTAGTGCTTTACAGCAACAGCACTTGGGTGATTCATTCTTTTTTCCAACTTAACATCAAAGAGGTATTTATTCCTGTTGTGGAAGGAAGCCCATGCTGGCAGATTTGGTCTGTTTTATTAGGGGTTCTAGAGCTGTTTCTGGTACACAGTGAGTACTGGAACATATGGCTGTTGTTTAATAACATTTTTATGTGCATTCATGTGTGCCATGGTACCCGTGTGGAGGTTAGAGGCCCGCTTTTGAGAGTAAGTTCTCTTCTACTGTGTGGGTTCTATCATAGAACTCAGGTCGTCAGGCCTGGTGGCAGGCACCTTTATGTGTTAAGCCTCAAGGTGTTTTCCAAATGTTTGGCTTCCCTGCCACACAGCATCCTCTCTATGTTCTGAGTGTTCTTGGCAAGAGTCTTAATTCTTAGTTGATGCCCTTAAAGTCAGATTCTCAATATGTAACCTAGGCTGACCTTGGACTCACTGTCCTTGTCCCTCTGTCTCCTTAATGTTGGCACTACAGGCTTTCACCATCATTCTTGGCTTGAGCATTTTTTTTCTGTAGTTGATGTTATTTAATTTGATGACACATTTTATTATATGCGGTAAGTAGTCTGAAGTAGAACATATTCATTGTTTTCTTGAGCTTCTTATAAATGCAAATGTTACTTTTGGTATCTGAATGTGCAATTGCATGGCCCTGTTACCTTTCTTTGAAGAGAGATTTTTGGAAACTGATTTCCTGAGTAAATGAAGTCAGGAATCTCAGCGATTCTTACTGTTAGAGGATACACTTGCACAAGGAAAGAATGCACCGTTTATCTGTCCTTTATTTAGTAAGTTCAGTCCTGAACTCCTGCCTGGGTGTCCCTGCTGAGCTTTTACCATTCTAAAACAGCAGTTAAACAGTTGAATTCTGGTACTCCTGAAAAATTATTATATTGCCCATATTTGATATTTAGATTACAGAGTCCAGTCATCCTAGAGAGCATTTTCTTCTACAAAAATTGTTTCAGGAGAACTTTTGCTATCCTTAGATTGTATGTTCACCCAGAGTTTTGTTTTAAGCTGTTAAAAACCCTCTTTGAACACAAAGACTTTCCCGTGCCTTAGTAGTGTAGTGGTGCCATTGAACCTCTCTTTGCTGAATACTTTTATATTGCACCCCACCCACACCCTTTCAGTTGTACTGTCCCATCAGTCTCCTAACAGGCAGTCAGAACACATTTCGATTAAGTTACTAATTCTTTGTGCTAGCTTTCCTTTAGAGACTCTCTCTTGGCAGAATTTGCAGAAGAAACACATAGTAGCAAAATATCTGGAGACGATGTCATGGGAATGGAAGTAGACAAACGGACAGATAAATACTTTTATAGATGGTATCATCTGATCTGTGTCATAGAATTGTTTGGAAAGGGAAAGAAAGGAAGGGCTGGTCCTTTATGTTTTCATTTCCTGTCTCAGGACAAAAGCTTTAAGTCTCAAGTGCTGTTTTCATAACACTTCCCCTGACTTACAAATTCTTGGAATACCCAATGCCAAAAACTTAACTGTTCCCCCTCCTCCCTTTTACGTTTTTTCTTAAGCAACAGAGGCTAAGAGTGCCACCTGGTGGTGGTGCATGCCCTTAATCCCAGCACTTGGGAGGCAGAGGCAGGCGGATCTCTGACAGTTCGAGACCAGTCTGGTCTACAAGACCTAGTTCCAGGACAGTCTCCAAAGCCACGGAGAAACCTGTCTCGAAAAACAAAACAAAAAAAGAGTGCCAAGCCCACCCCTGTAACACTCTGTTTTACTTCTGTTTTGTTGCTGTGTTTTGGTTTGTTTGCAATTTATAAAAGAATGATTACTAAATAGTAGCTGGCTATGATTAAGATTATGAATAGAGAGATTGGAGTATTAGCTTCAATTGTAGCTTCAGGTGATTTACTGAGTATTTGGCTTGTTATTATAGCAGTGACATTTCATGCAGTAAAGTGTACAGATTTTAGGTGATGTTGTTTAATTTGATGACACATTTCGTTACATGGGATAAGTAGTCCCTTCTGAGGAATTCTTTTGGCAGCTTTTTCTCATGCATGTGCAGATCTGCTCTTGCCAAAGCTCAGTAGAACCCCAAATCAGGTCCCCAAAGTATACGCTTTGCACCTCCCTCCACTCTTACGTACTGTACTGCCCAACAAAGTTCTATCCTCTTTGGCCTCTCCAATTCTGATTTCAAAACATCCTGGAACTTAACTCTAGGTAGCACGGAGCACCTGAAGGTTTACCCTGCTTTCTGTCTCAGAAGCATGCTACAACTCTTCTGTTGCTCTGTGTCTGAAAACCATTATGTTCTGTACTTTGTCCCGCTTTCCACTGTTCACAGTGGGAAAAAAACTCCTGTCCCAGTAGAAGGCAACACTGGAAGAGGAAATCTCTAAAAGTGGAAGAGGCTGGAATTTCGCTCAGTTGGTGAATGCTTGCCTTGCAGTCACAAAGCCCTTGGTTGACCTCAGCACTGCACTAAACCAGGCGTGGAGGCACACAGCTCTAAGTCACTTTCTGATACCTGGAGTATGCATGTGGTAGTTTGCAAAAGACTGACCCTCAAAGGCTTACGTGTACATCCTTAGTCCCCATTTGGTGACCTGTTTAAGAAGGGTTAGGAGGTGTAGCCTTATTAGAGGAAATGTGTCACTGGGGGGTGGGCTTTGATTCAAAAGCCCATGCCAGGCCCAGTGGCTTTCTTCCTGCTATCTATGAATCAGTATGTAAAGCTCTCAACTACTGATCCAAGAGCATACCCGCATGTGTGCCACCCACCACACTCGCTGCCATGGTGATAAACTGTAAGCAAACCCCCAATTAAGTACTTTATTTAGCCAGGTGTGGTGGCACATGCCTTTAGCCTTAGCAGAGGCAGGCTAAACTCTTTGAGTTTGAGGCCAGCCTGTCTACATAGTCAGTTAGGACAGCCAGGGCTATGTAGAGAGACTGTAGGTGTAGTTTGCTGTCCCTCCGACCAGTTTCCAAATAACCACACAGAGACTTACTAGTAATTATAAATGCTCAAGCGATTGCTTAAGTCGTTGCTAACTAGGTCTTACAACTTAAATTAACTAATATTTCTCATCTATGCTCTACCTCGTGGCTCAATCAATGCATTTCTTCAGCACAGTACGCTCATCTTGTTTCTCCCTGAGTCTCCATTGAGTCTCCTGGTGACTCCACCTTCTTCATCCCAGCCCTCTCTCCCTGTCCGAAACTCCCACCTAACCTCTCCTGCCTAGCTATTGGCCATTTAGCTCCTTATTAAACCAGTGAGAGTAACATATCTTCACAGTGTACGAAAGGATTATTCTACAACAGAGACCCTGTCTCAAAAATATCAGAGTAACCTTGGTCGTAGTATATCTTTGTAGCAATAAAAACTCTAAAACAACATGAGAGCCTGTCTTGGGGGGGGGGTGATGACAACACAACAGTCAATCAGTAACAGTTTTTAAAATTAGAGTGGGCATCTTTATATATTGAGATTTTTTAATGAATTTATTTTTATTTTATTGATATTTTGCCTGTATGTGTATGTCTGTGAGAATGTTGAATCCTGGAGTTAGAGTTATAAGTTGCCATGAGGGTGCTAGGAAAAGCAGTCTTTGCTCTAACTGTGAGTCATCTCTCCAGCCCCATATTGAGATATTTATGTCCAGATAAGTTAGGGTATGTAATTCTTAGAACTCATCAGTTCTCAGAATACGTACATACACACCATACTTAATGTCAGCACTTGTTCTTTGTAAGGCACTTGCATAACTTAGTGATCATTCCAATCTAAAGTTCAGAGTTTTTCTCTGATCCACTTGAAATTATTAGATATAGAGGGTATTAATTTGGAATATGTGTGTCCATCTTATCTATAGTTTCCCTTGAATGGTGGGTATGTCATTGTCCTAATTCTAAGAACATCTGAGTTATGTGTGTCTTATCGATTGATAAACTTAAACTGTGTCACTTAAAATACAAATTCATACCAGACAGTGGTGGTACATGCCTTTAAACTTAGCATTCAGGAGGCAGAGGCAATCGGATCTCTGTGAGTTCAAGGCTAGCCTGGTCTACAGAGTGAGTTCCAGGACAGCTGAGGCTACATGGAGAAACCCTGTCTTGAAAACAAAACAAAAAACCTGCTGTCAGCCTGGGGCTATGGTGGGCTTGGTGGTAGAGTGCTTGATTAGCATGTGTGAGATCCTAGGTTTGATACCCAGCACCAAAATAAGATGAAATTTGTTGTTTGTAGCTAGAAGGACAAGTAGCAGGATGCAGAACAAGGCGTATTCATGTTTTTATTTTATGTGCATTGGTGTTTTGCCTGCATGTATGTCTGTGTGAGGGTGTCAGATCACTTGGTGCTGAATCATAGACAGTTGTGAGCTGCCATGTGTGTCCTGGGAATTGAACTCAGGTCCTCTGGAAGAGCAGCCTGTGCTCTTAACTGCTGAACCATCTCTCCTGCCCCATGAGCAAGGCATATTTATGTTTATATTCCATACAGGTTAATGTGCAAAACTATTTTATGGTAGCACATGCCTAATCCCAGCACTTGGGAAACTGAGACAAGAATTACAAGACTTAAAGAACATCCTGAACTACACAGTAAAAGTTGTTTGAAAACACCTGGTCAGGCTGTGTGGTTTTGGTGATGCCTTTAATCTCAGCATTTGGGAGGCAATGGCAGGTGGATGTCTGAGTTTGAGGCCAGCCTGTTTTACATAGAGAGTTCCAGGACAGGCAGAGGTGTTACACAAAGAAACCCTATCTGGAAAAACAAAAAGCAAAACAAATAAAAGACCTGTTAAGATAAAAAGGAGACAGGGAAAATGATTATCTTTTTCTTCTATTCCTTAGTGGGTTTTTTTGTTTTGTTTTGTTTTTTAGGCAAAGAATGTATACAACAGTTGGCTGAGAACACCAGGTATTTCAGGAGACGACTGAAGGAAATGGGATTCATCATCTATGGCAATGAAGATTCCCCGGTGGTGCCTTTGATGCTCTACATGCCAGCCAAAATTGGGTACATTTTGTGGAAGGTCCAACCTGCCCTGTCATTAGACAGAAGGATATGTTGGGGCTGGAGCGGGAAAAGTTGGCATTCCTGAGTAGTCCTGGCTAGCCAGGAAGTCACTATGTGTAGATCAAGCTTCCTCACTGCATTGGCCTGCCTCTACCTCCCAAGGTCTGGGATTAGAGGTGTGCACCTCCACACCTGCTGTGGGCAGCCTTTTATTCCCAAATACTGTGAACAGGTTAAGGGAAGGTAAAACAGAAAGCATAATTTTGTCAAAAAAACCAAGTTAGAATTCATTATTTAGTGAGGATTCAGATGTGGAGTAAGGGTACAAGATAGCTGTGGTTATTGTACAAGAATTGTGGAGTTTGGGTAGCCTGCTGGCCTATAGAGCCTCAAAGCAGCTTGTACTCCAGGCAACTTTAGTCCCAAGTAGGTTTAAAAGGGGGAGGAGGGGAATAAGGAGGCTGGAGAGGTGGCTCAGCAGTTAAGAGCACTGGCTGCTTTTCCAGAGGTCCTGAGTAATTCTCAGCAACCACATGGTGACTCACAACTATCTGTAATGAGATCTAGTGCCCTCCTCTGGCTGCAGGCATATGTGCAAGCAGACCCCTACATAAGAAACCAATCAATCTTGTTAATTAACTAATTTCTAGTTTAGAAGGCCAATTCCAGTCAACAACTCTGGCAGCAACCCTTTTAACAGCAGGTCCTCTGTCCTCATAGTCCCAAAAATTACTGTTTTGAGACTGTTTGAGAACTGAGTTTTTTAATACTGATATATTTTAGAATCTTAACCACTGTTATGTTTCAGGGACAGGCTATCACCTAAAGTAAACTTTTATCACAGTTGCTCCTTGCCAGCTACATTCTTCTACCTTTGTGAAGGAATGACTATCAGAGGACTGAAAAAACAGAATTTTTAGAACTGTCTGTTGTGTTTATGCCTATATCATCAAAACTCAGGCCAGCAGTCAGGTGTGGTGGCGCACGCATTTAATACCAGTACTCAAGAGGCAGAGGCAGTCGAATCTCTGTGCGTGTAAGGCCGGTCTGGTCTACAGAGAAACTCTGTACTGGCTGCTGTTTACACTTCTTGGTTTCTTTTGTTGTTGTTTTGGTTTTTGAGGCAGAATTTCTCTGTGTAGCCTTGACTGTACTAGAACTAGTTCTTCCCTCGAACTTAGGTCCTCCTGCCCCTGCCTATTAAAGGCATGAGCCACCATACCAGCTACATTTCTTGGTTTCATTTCCTGTTTTCCTTTTGTAGCGCCTTTGGGCGGGAGATGCTGAAGCGGAACATTGGTGTAGTTGTGGTGGGGTTTCCTGCCACCCCAATCATTGAGTCCAGAGCCAGATTTTGTCTGTCAGCAGCTCATACCAAAGAGATACTTGATACGGTAAGTACCTTGCAGTCTTTATAACACGTTACTAAAAGGGGCTGTGTATCACATGGTATTGATCGCTTGATGTTCTTGGACACCTAGGATTTTTTTTTGTTTGTTTTGTTTTTTTTGTTTTTTGTTTTTTGAGACAGGATTTCTCTGTAGCTTTGGAGCCTTTCCTGGAACTCACAGAGATTCACCTGCCTTGGCTTTTTATTGTTTATTTATCAATTTATTGTATTTTTATTTATTTATTTTTTCCAGATAGGGTTTCTCTGTGTAGCCCTGACTGTCCTGGAACTAGCTTTGTAGACCAGGCTGGCCTTGAACTTGCTGAAATCCGCCTGCCTCTGCCTCCCAAGTGCTGGGAGTAAAGGCATGCACTACCACTGCCTGGTTTAATTTTTTTTTTAAGAGCACTTTATTGGTGATTGATCTTCATTTTTTTTAAAGTTTTCGTTCTTTAAGTGACCAATACAATACTCTAGTGTTGTGAACTGTGGATAAAATTATAGCTACATCATTTCCCCATTCCCCTTTTCTAATTCCAGTCCCTCCCGTGTACCTCTGCCCTTGCTCTCATTCAAATTCATGGCTTCTTTATTGTTGTTGGGGTGAGGGTGCATGTTCCTAAATCTATTGCTCAGGTTGTATTATGTTACTTGTATATATGTTCCAGGGCTAACCATTTGGTATTAGATAATAAATTGGTATTCTCTTTTCGGGGAAGGGCTATTTCTTCCACTCACCATTCCCTGTTTGTCTGTAGCTCTATATCTAAGGTTGAGACCTTGTAAGCTTTCCCCTTCCAAGTTAACATGTCTGTTGGTATTTAGGCCTTATTTAGGCAGTCATATTGGTAAGACTTAGGTGTAGCTTCTCTGAGATTTCTATGAGACATGATCTCACAGCAAACTTCCTGTTCCTCTGATTCATACCACACTCCAACCCCTCCGACATTGATTCCTGAGCCTTAGACAAGAGTTGTTATAGTTGTATTAATCAGGACTGGGCTCCATAACCCTGCATTTTGTTGTGATTTTCTGTAATGGTCTCCATTTGTTACAAAGAGAAGTTTCTTTGCTGAAGGTGAGGTCTACACTTAACTGTGGGTATAAGGACAGATATGTTTGCATTATTATTAGGGATTATGCTACCTTAGGAAAGTACTGGTTGTAGGCCACTTGAAATGCTTTTTGTTTTTGAGACAGTGTCTTACATGTAGTCCTTGAACCTGGTCTCCTCTGCATCTCCAAGAACAGGGATTCTGGGAATGAGCCATCACACCTGACTAAAACCTTTTATTTTTAAAACCATAGGCTTGTTGAAGTCATTTTATCTTGTGATATTTTATAGAATTAACACGAAAAATGAACAAGAGTGTTATGTGATACAAACTAATTTTTATTCAGTTAATAGGTCCTGTCACATGATTAAAAAATTAACATTTGGTGTGTGGTGGTGATGTGTTTGCTTGAGCATATATGAAGATGAGAGAAAACTTGAGAGAGTTTTCTCCTTTCATTATGTAGGTTCTGGAGATCAAACTCAGGTCATCAGGCTTGGCAGCAAATGCCTTACCCACTGAACCATCTCACTGACCCACGACTCTTCATATAGGAAGAGTCAGAATACATACCTGTCTGTGCCCATAAATAATACACAGAATCAACACATAAAATACAGACTCAGGAAAGCTGTTCTGAAAAACAAGAAGGACAAGGGAAGCACAGCTGCCCTAGAATATTCCCTTACTCAGCCACATAATGTTTTCTAAGAACCTATCCTACCCTTAGAATGTATTTATAGAGAATACCTACAATATACAAAAAGACTGTTAGAGCTAAATAAATGGTGTTGGCAACATTAGTAAGTAAGACATTCTTGCACCACATTAATATTCCCATATTTCAGCAATAAACAAATGAAAAGGGAATCTTAGGCCAGGCATGGTGGTGCAGACCTTAGTCCCAGTACTTGGGAGGCTGAGCAGAAGGATCACACGTTCAGGACCAGTGTGAGTGTGCACAAGCCCTTTTTTATTAGTCTCAACACCAGGGGTCAGGTAGATACCTAAGAGTAAGAGTAACTAAGGAACCTTGTAAAATTGTTAAATTTATGCTTAATAAACTGAGTGGAGTTGTGGGCTCCTATAGTCTCAGCTACTTATGCTACTTAGGCTGAGGCAGGAGCATCCCCTAGTCTCACAAGTTTGAGGCTGATCTGGCAATGTAGTGAGATGCCATCTCAAAAAAAAAAAAAAGAGTGAATGAGTATTGTTAGAATGTCAGTATAGTCATCTACAGACCCAGAGCAAATTCAACCAGAATTCAAGTTACACTGTTTGCAGAAATGGAAACACTGATCCTGAAGTTTATATGGAACTAGTAGATTTCCCCCAAACAGCTGAAATGGTGTTGAAAATGAAAGTTGGAAGACTCATCATATTTGTCAATTTCAAATCTAATTAGAACCTACAATGACTAAAGCAGTGAGTACCAGCACAAGGATCGCAGTTAGACCAGAGGCTTGGAATGAAAGCTGGGGAATCAGCCTAAGCGTCCAGTCAACTGATGGTTCGTAGGGTAGCCGGAGCAGGCAGTGAGCAAAGGAGAGTTTCTAAAGCAAGCAGTGCCAGAATGAATGCCCAGTGAAGCTACAACCCTACAGCATGGACAGAACAGACCTGCAACTGTGCTAACTGAAAGAAGCTAGACACACTCCACTCATAAGGAATGTCCATAATGGGGACTCTACAGTGTTAGAAAATATATTAGTGGTTGTAAGAGCTTAGAGGAAAGCAGGGGTGCAGAGTGATAAACATACTGAGTATGGGAGTTAATTGGGAGAAGACAGAGGCCAGCCTGGTCTACAGAGTCAATTCCAAGGCAGACAGGGCTACACAGAAATCTGTCTCAAAAAGCCCCCCGCAAAAAAAGAAAAAGGAAGCCGAGCATTGGTGGCGCACGCCTTTAATCCCAGCACTCGGGAGGCAGAGGCAGGCGGATCTCTGTGAGTTCGAGGCCAGCCTGGTCTACAGAATGAGTTCCAGGACAGCCTTCAAAGCCACAGAGAAACCCTGTCTCGAAAAACCAAGAAAAGGAAAAGGAAACTCTCTACAACCAGTGAAGTGATGAAAGTTGTTCCATGATGGGATTAAACTAGAAGCACTGAATTGTGTCCGGTAAAAAGCTGGGCTTTGTGGGCTGGAGAGATGGCTCAGAGGTTAAGAGCACAGACTGCTCTTCCAGAGGTCCTGAGTTCAATTCCCAGCAACCACATGGTGGCTCACAACCATTCATGAGATATGGCGCCCTCTCCTGGCCTGCAGACATAAATGGAGGCAGAATGTTATATTCATAATAAATAAATAAATCTTTAAAAAAAAAAAAAGCTGGGCTTTGTAGAATGTGGGTCCTTTTTCAGTAAAGTCATCTTCCCACACAATGGGAAGAATGATGGCACCCGCTGTGGGAGGGCAGCTGTGCTGGCATACCTCCTCACTCAGCCTGTACTTATGAGCTCGTCTGATGCCTTGAGCCAGGGGTCACTGTAATTATTTGCTAATAGATGGTACCATGTAATGGTTCTTTGCTCCTAATCTAAACAAATAACCTCACTTATGGGCCATCAGTTTCTATTACAAATTTGTTTTTTTCTGTAGACAAACCTTGTGTGGGGCTGTGAGAGGTGGTGTATACCCACAGTCCTGGGTGCCCAGCAGTCTGAGATAGAAGGATCACTTGAGCTCAGGAGCTCCAGATCAGCTTGAGAAGTTTATTGAGATTCCATATCACATAACAAACAAGAAAACAAGATCAAAAACCTTGTGAAATACTGGATATGGGAACAAAACTCTTACTTTTATCCTCTTGGGCACTGAGAGTTTGTTTCTGCTCACTTCATGTTTCTAACCACTTTCGTCTTTACACTGATGAAAAAATATTAGGTACTCCTCTAGTGAAGGCTCATACATATCCTTTCCTCTGTGTTCTAAGTCATGTACACCTTTGTTTTAAGTGTATAGACCCTCTATCAGTCAAGGAAATAAATGGCTAATGGTTTCTCCCGTCTAAAGTTCAGAGTTAACTGTCTGTGGACTCTTCAGTTAAGCCTGGCCTCAGAGATACCACTGTTCTGATAGCACAGTGAAGCTCAGCTCTTACTCTATATTTTTCACATTTTGGAATAAAGAACAGGCAAACTGACCTTTATGCTGGTAAACAGTTCTAAAATACACATTTTCTTTTAAAACGCTTTTTATAATTTCTATTTATTCTGCTTTTGAGTATGGTGTGGGTTCAGACATGCCATGACTTGCATGCAGGTCAAAGTGCAGGTTGTGAAAGTTGGTTCTTCCCACTGTGGGTCCTAGGGATTGACCTCAGGCTGCAAGGCTCTGTGGGAGGTGCCTTTCCTGCTGAGCTGCTCGCTGACCCAAAGTGTGCGTTCTCATACAGAATTATAGCTCTAACCCTGACAGGAGGCCTGTTCCCTCTCCTCCTGAGCACATTACATGGGTAAGAACTCAACCTTTGTAGTGCTCAGGTGCTCACGGCCCATCTTGATGGCCAGGCCTGAGGCCTGAGCTCTTGTTCAGATGCCACTCTTGTCTGAGCTGTGTACAGTCTTTCTTGCATACCTGAATTCACTGTATCCCACCAAGATGACCTTGCCACTGTTGTTTCAGCCCAGCAAAGTGTTGGGCATGCTTGCATCCTGCTCATCCTGGCTGACCACTGTTCTGTGTGTTTTAGGCTTTAAAGGAGATAGATGAAGTTGGGGATCTGCTGCAGCTGAAGTACTCACGCCGTCGGCTGGTGCCTCTGTTGGACAGACCCTTTGATGAGACTACCTATGAGGAGACAGAAGACTGAGCCTTTTTGGTGCTCCCTAGAGGAGGAAACTCCCTCCAAGGACAGTGTGTGGCCTTTCTGAGCCAGTTCCAGAACCACACTTCAGTGACCACCTCATGTGAAAGACATTTCTGAAGCTACTGAAGGTGGCCACCTCCACTCCAAATGGCATTTTGTAAATAGTAAAAAAAAAAACAAACTGCTTCACATTCTTCCATTGTTTGCTAAGTCTCACCTTTATATAATATAATATAATAATATATATATAAATGATTACTTTGTCCATTAAAAATGTTTTATTTTATAACTATTCTACTTGTGAAATCACGCTGACCCTTGCCTGGGGCTTACCACACAGATATCCCACACTCCAGTCACCTCCTGGGCTTGGACCCATCAAGACTCGCCCTGGCCCTGGCTCTCCAGCCTTGAGACTCACTGGCCTCTCCCTAGGGAGCAAGTGCCTTCTGCTGACTTCCTGTCCAGGTCTCAGAGGTTGCCCCGCCCACCCGTTAACCCATATTTAACCAGTCAAGTTAATCAACCAAAGCATTCTGTCTTTAGTCTTAAATGTTAACAATGCCAAGAAGTTTATTACGTGACCCCCCGGCCAAGGACCTCCCTAGTCTGCTCTTATTCTTCTTCGTTATTGTTGTTCTGCTCATCATCAGACACTTCTTCATAGGGTCACAGACTGAAGATGTGTCCCGAGTTTGTGTTCTTCCCCAATCCAGCCCTAATGCTTCCGACCTCCACAGTTACCACAGCCTCTGGCTGCTTCTGGGTCCAGATAAATCCTGGTAAAGGAAAGTGAGCAGTCCTTTGCCCGTGTTCCACTTCGCCATTAGTGGTATAAGTTTTCCTTGGAGATGCTGACCCACTTGGACAGCGCTCTTCCAAATGCCAGTTGTACTCTTAAATGTCCTAAGGTGATTTGACCCAGCCTCTGGGGCTGGCTTCTCTTGTGCTTCCTTGATGTATTTTTCCTTTGAGGAATTTCTAATCAAATACCTCTTTCCTGAACTGGAATAGCCTCCGTGTGTCTGTCGCCAGTAGGTCAGGGACTTCATCCAGAGCTCAGCACTGCTTGACCAAAGAACACATCCGAGGAACACCGTTTAAAGTTACTCTTTTCTTTTGACCAAAGTTTAATCGAAGAGAATGTTCAGCTTTGTTGCACTGAAAACGAATCTGTCTTTTAGTGGTGACCAAGTGTTATAAGGAAGGATTGAGAATAGAATGAGAAGAACTGTAGAAAAGTGTATTTCATATGTCATTCTTTAAAATTACTCTTTTTATTGGTAAACATGCCCAACCATATTCTCCTGGGGACCGCACTATCAGCCGCGGTACATGGGCGAGAAGACAGAGCAGTGTTGTTTGTAAAGCTCTGTTCCCATGGCCTGGATCTAAAGCATCTTTGGTCCTCCTGACATCTGTGAGCTTTCAGCCCTTGAGACAGTCCAAGGTCATAGGTGACTTTTTTTAAAGATTAGAAATGGAGCCAGGTGGTGGTGGCGCACGCTTTTAATCCCAGCACTCGGGAGGCAGAGGCAGGCAGATCTCTGTGAGTTCGAGAACAGTTTTGTCCACAGAGTTCCAGAACAGCCAGAGCTTTTAGACAGAGAAGCCCTGTCTCAAACTCTACCCCACCCTCCCAAAAAAAGATAGAAATGGGTGAATAAGCAGGGTGTGGTAGTCTATGCCTTTAATCCCAGCACTAGGGAGGCAGAGGCAGGTGGATCTCTGAGGTTGAGGTCAGCCAGGGCTGCATAGTGAAACCTGTCTCAAAAGAGAAAAAAGAAAGCAAAAGAAAATAGTAAATAAAAGGACCACAGAAAGAGACAACTACATTTATTAAAAAAATTCCAAAGCTAAGTCTTGTTTAAAATGTGTTGCTCACATAGGGCTTGTAAAAGTGATGAACATGCCTCCTAGGCTTTCAGCTTACATAAAGTCACTTCAAACTAAAGTGTTATTGATGGGCATTACACACACACACACATATATATATATATCACTTGGTTGATGCAAAGTTTATTTCAGGCTAATTACAAGTTTATTTTGAAGAAACAAAACTCCTGTGATCTACCTCCTAGAGGACAAAATGGTATATATACATTATATGTGACTGCTTATTTGTAACTAGTAGAAATCATGGGCCCAGTCATGTCATAGATCATTATTGAAATTTTGGGGCAATACAAAGGGCATATTAGTCCAGCATTTGAGTATGAGTAGAAGCCTGGATCTTAAAGAGACTCAAACGTGTATGTAAGTCAGCCGTCACCACCAAACCTGGCTGCTGATTGGTCTGCAGGGCGCAACTCACCCTAGCACTTTGCATTATGCTTTTCATTACCGTTGTCCTTATTCATTTCATGTTTGCAAGCCCCTCTTCATGGCTCACATCAGAAACCGGAGCCTCGTCAGAATCATGCACGAGACATGGCCCAAGGGGCAAGGGCAGTGAGCATCTCCCCTCTATAGCATCCTTGTTGAAGGGATCCAGCCCTCGTCAGTCCTTCATTCATGGTCTTCGACTCTTACCGTTGGGCAGGGTTTCAGAATCAGCTTCTTCTTGAGTCCTCCAGCCTCACTTCTGCCCACACCTGAGTAGGTCAAAGGGTGGAGCATCTTCATAGTGACCGCCTGTAGTCCTTCACTCCCTCTCTGCGTCATCTTGGTGGTTGGGGTTGTAGGTCCAGAAAAGACGTGTGTGCTGGTGCAGGGTTTGGGGAGCTGTAGTGTAGACAGCCTGATTCTTGCATGCACAACCATGCACTTCAGTGATCGACCAGGGGCTTCTTCCTTTTTTCAGCTGAGGGCATCCACGTCTGAGTCTCCATGACTGTCAGGGGTCAGGGTGTGGCCAGATTACCTAGTGTACACTATAACTTGCAAGAAGCGGATTGATAGCTGGTTTAGATTTCCCGACGTTTTTGGACAAAGGGGAAATGATATCTATTACCACCTCCATTCTCCCAAATTGGTGAATCTGCCTAATTGTTTGTAGTATTTGACAAAACCCCCTAGAAAAAATAACAACTGATTCTCCTGTGTAAATGATTGCTATGGGTCAGGTGTGGTGCATACCTGTAATCCCAATATTCAGGGGACAGAAGCAAGAGGACCTTCTAGAATTCTGGATTAGCCTATGCTGCAGGGTAAGAGTCTCCAAAGAAAGCAGGGGAGATTTCTATGACTGAATGCCAAGGGTGCTGTTGTAGGTAAGAAATACCCAGGTGTTCTGTCACCTTGTTTCAAATGGGCTAGAAAAGGGGAGAGGATAGTACTTTTTCTCTCTGACTGCCCTCCCTGTGCCTGTGATGACCAGGAGCTATGAGGTGTTTCTGACAAGTAAAATCACCTTAGCCTGGGGCTATGAAGGGAGAGGTTTGTGGAAATCAGGATTCTGCTTGGCAGTTTATCCAAGAGTCTATAGCCCTACCCCCACCCCCCAGTTCCAGAACCTACGGATGAGCTGTACCTGTAAGCTCAGTGCCCAGCAGGCATCTTAATCTATTAAGCCGGTCAATCAGAATACCTTGCATGTGGAGAAAAGCATGTCCTTCCTTCCCTCTGCCTTAGCCATGTGAAATGTGTGCTTGGGCTCCTAGCCAGCTGCTGTGTTCAGCCAGATAGCCAACTCAGGGCTAAGAAGAAATGCTAGGGCCTGCCAGCAACCGCCTCCTTTGTCCTGCCTAAGAAATACCATTGTTCCTTTTATAGTTTTCAGTGACTTCTGTTTTCCAAGCAGCTTTTTTGATGTATACAGAAGTGTTTCTAGGAAGGAAACACAAGGAGCCAACTTGAGCCCTTAATGAAAACGACCATTTTCATCTTTGTCGAATCTGAAGGTTTTACATTCATAGTTCACCCTTAGGAGCAGCTTTGGGGGTGGGGGAGCTGTGGGCAAGATTTTGTTTACGATGGTATAGCCTTAAATTGTTACTGTTTCTGGTGTAATGGATTGTAATAAACTGACCCTGAAGAATGCCCAGGCTCTTACCCTGCACTTACTTCTTTTAAGGAAGCAATACCTAAAGCTCTGGTTTTGGAGCGGTTGAAGTGTCTGTTTCCTTGCCATCTGAGCTCTTCCCTCGTGCAAGGCAACTCCAGCCAACTCAAAAGTCCAGCACAGTTCCCAGGTTTCTAGTGCAAATCCCGATTGTTTGGTGTAGGCCTTCCAGCTGAGTGAAGGCTGCACACCCTACCTTCCCCTTAACATCGTACCTCAGGGTTAGTTTGCCCAGGGTCTTCCATCACAGGGCATGGGAGCCTTTCCTGTGAGTTTAGCCTGCATGCCCACAGTCTTGGTGATCCCTCTCTGGACGGAGGCAGCTAACAATAAGGAATGGGGGAAAGAGGAGAGCAGGTGTCTACAGAAGAGCTGAATTAGGGTGATCCTGTTGGTTGATCCATGCTTTCCCACTGGCCAAGTTACTGTAAACTGGAATGTGCAAGGTGTACTGTGATCTAACCCTTTCCATTGCTGCAATGTTCTTATCACCTGGGAATGTGGGATTCTTTTTAATTTTGGTACTGTCTTACAAATGTCACCCTTGTGTAGCTTTTTGCCTTCTTGCCAGATGATTTTTTTTCTTTCATTTATATCGGATGACTGTGAAGCTACATAGTAGGTTGCGGAGGGTGTCGATTTTCAGAATGCATGTTAAGAATATAAGGGGACCTACTTGAGATGAATCATCCCACAAATATTGTTTTGCCCTAATAAAATATTCAGAAATAGACACGTACCTGCCTTCATTCATTCAGCCAATAAATATCAGGCATTAACCTCAACGCCAGCAAGTGTACTGGGCACTGCTAACAACCGCAATGAAAAGACAAATGTAAACAAGTGTGTGAGCATACAGTTTTGCAGACTGCTAAGGGCTTGCACAGAAAACCCAAAGGGGATAATAGAAATGGGTAACAGAGCTGGGCAGTGGTGACATATGCCTTTAATCCCAGCACTCAGGAGGCAGAGGCAGGCAGATCTCTGTGAGTTCGAGACCAGCCTGTTCTACAGAGTGAGTTCAAGCTCCAGAGCTACACAGAGAAACCCTGTCTCAAAAAACAAACAAGAGGGAGAGACAGAGAGAGAGAGGTGGTGGTGGCCACTGGGCAAGGCTGCAGAGGCCAGGGCAGCTGTCTTTGCAGATTGGGGTCAGGGGAGGTGTTTGCTTTAGCTGTGGAGAAACCAGTGAAAAGTTTTTTATTTTGTTCTTTCACATTTATTGGGGCAACCCCCCCCCCCGTGTGTGTCTGTGTGAACATGCCAGTTCACTTGTGGTCAGAGGACCATTTGTACCACGTGGGGTCCTGGGACTGAACTCAGTATATCAGGTTTGGTCTCAAAAGTGCCTTTACCAACTGAGCCATCTTGCCGGCCAGAAAAAAAATTTGCAGAGTTGAAAAAGATGGTATGCCTTTTTGTGTGTGTGTGAACATTGACAACATGATAAAATTTGCATGTAGATACAAAGAACTTAAGAATAGTCTACAATTTTGAAAAATGGTTTATACTGCCTGAAGCCTTTCTTTCAACATAGGTAGTATTCTTGGCTTTAGGGTGCCTATAGATCACTAAACTCAGTATAGTCCAGAAACAGACTGATGTGATCACTTGATTTTTTTTTCCTTCCCTTCTTCCTTCCTTTCTTTGTTTTTGGTTTTGTTTGCCTGCTTTTGCTTTTTGAGACAGGATTTTGGTGTAGCCCTGGAACTTGCTCTGTAGACCAGGCTAGCCTCAAACTCAAAGATCTACCTGCCTCCCTAGTGCTGGCATTAAAGTCATGTGCCACCACTGCCCAGCTTCAACAAAAGATCCAAGGTACTTCAGTGAAGAAAATACAACAGCTACACCTAGCGGCACTGGAGTAACTAAATGCCCATATGGGGAGGAAAGATGATCTCTCAACAGTGATGTACAATAATCTAATTAGAATAAACAATAGACCTAAACATGAAAATGGCAGGATTAAGGAAGTAGTTCAAGTACAAGTGCCCGAGTTCAGATCCCCAGCACCCACCAATGCTAGCTAGCTAGCCTAAATGAACCTGTGAGCTCCATGTTTAAAGAGAGAGACCCTGCCTCAGTAAACAAAATGAAGAGCAGCTGACCTCCTCGCAAACGGACATGCACACCAAATATATACACGTAAAGAATTTCCCTTAAAAAACAAAGTCAACGAATTCTCCAAAAATGGGCAGGAATGGTTAAGAGCACTAGCTGTTCTTTAGGACCCAGGTCCAATGCCCAGCACCCCCATGGCAGCTCATAACTGTGACTCCGTTCCAAGAGATCCAGTGCCTGGCCACTGCCACCAAACACACATGTGGCACACAGACATATATGCAGACAAAACATCCATACACATAAAGTTAGTTTGGTTTTTTTTTCAAATTTTATTTTTGTTTTGGTTTTTCAAGACACTGTTTCTCTATGTAGTCCTGGCTGGCTTCAAACTCAGAGATTCACCTGCCTCTGCCTCCGTAGTGCTGAGATTAAAGACGTTGTGCCATCACTGTCCAGTTTATAAAACAGAAGATATTGATCAAACACTTGTCCAAAAAGTCTAGCAAGGAGTGGGGGCAGCTTGGAGTGAAGTAGCAGTTGTCAACATGGAGACAAAGAATGACATGGAGAATTAATGAATGACCAAACAAACTCATTATCTTCAAAGTCACATTTAATCTGGTAGAAAGTTTCAAAAGCACCGCTAAAAGGCTAAATACTGGGGGTAAATGTAAAAGTATTTTATTTTTAAAAATGTAAAGACCTTAGTAAATGTAGTTTGATTTAGGAGCTGCTCAGAGACCAAGGATTTTGTTGGCTAACATTTGAGTATTTATCATGTACCAGGTCGGCATCTTCTTAGGGTGAATCATGTGAAATTGCCAGTATTCAACCCTTTGACCCGACCTCAGACCCAGGCTATCACCCAAGCGTCACACCATTTAATGCCCCACAGCGTTAAACAACAAACAAAAAACAAAACACAACAGCGCAGCTCTGAGAATTTTACTCTGCTTCCGTCCCTCCTGAGCAGACTACAGCCAGGGCCACCTTCTCCACTGCCCCCCCAAGTTCGCTCTCGTCAAGGCTCCCTCCTGCGTCCATCCCAGGTGGGCACCCTCTCCAGTTCGCACTCCTCCACCCAAATCATTAAGATTCCCGGTCTATGCCACATCTCGGGAATTCAAGTTGCTCAGTGACCTGCTGTGAAGACCCAACCCGAGGATCTGGCAGAAAGGGGCTGGGCCGTCCCCATGACCAGCGATACCAGCTGCAGGACAGATGCTCTGACCCCTACACTCAAGCCTTCCCCACCCCACCCTCTGTCCTGGGAATGTGACTTGTGTGGTCTCCTGGTTCTGACCATCCTGGAAACTGAACCGGAACTGCGAGCAGGGACCGCAGTGGTTCTCGTCCGAGGCACCTTGCCAAGCCTCCTTGCAAACCTACCTGACCGCACGCACACCTTTGCTTAGGATCCAAAGACTCCCGCCGCTCGCTCACAGCCGCGGGTGCCTGCCCGCGAGGCCCGAGGTAGTTCAGGTAGCCGTCGTCGCGCCGTCGGGGAGCGCTACTGTGGCGCCGCCGCCTCCCCGCCCCTCATCAGTGACCGCGCGGGGCCGCACTGCGCCGGGCGGCAACTTCCCCGGGACAGGAATTCGCTTGGGGCCGCGACGGCGACAGCGGCGGGGAGTGAAGGCGGGGAGGCCGCCAGATCAAAGGAGCCGCCCGCGGAGCCGGGACGAGTCCGCGAGCGCCGAGGGGCCTCTCGGGAGGGAGGGGGACACCAGGGCCACTGACCTCGCTCGGGGACCCGGGCTCACCGGCCGCGCGCCCCTGAGCGCGCGCTCCCAGCTGGGTCTCCGCGCAGCCCGGCCCGGCCTGCACCGCAGCCCGAGCTCCCGCCCCTGGAGGAGGCGCGGCGCGGCGCGAACACGCTCGCGGGTCAGGCGGTTCCCGCAAAGCAGCCTCGCAGAGCGACGATGCGGCCACCGCCGGTGCGAGCGTGGCTCCCGCGCGCCCTGATGCTGTTGGCTGCGCTCCTGGCCACCGGCCGAGGGCTACCCCTGAGGAAGCGGGATCCCGGGCCCCACGGACCCTCGAGGATGGTGGAGGTGAGTGATGATTGGGACTGGAGGGACCGAGCCGACTGGATGCCTCGGGAAGACAGGGTTTCTCTGTGTAGCCCTGGCTGTCCTGGCTGTCCTCGAACTCAGAAATCCACCGGTGATGGCCAGGTGCACTGAGCCTGTAGTTGACACTCCCCACGCGTAGCCGGGAGCTCTGGCGGCGGCGCTGTAACGTCCAGGCTGCCGAGGAGAAAGTTGACTTTGGTTCCTGCTCCGCAGTGGCCCGGCCTCCTGGGTCCCAGGCATCCCTTCCTCGCCCTGTGCGAACCTCCCCCTCAGCCACACTGCCCTGAGGTCATGAGGGGTCTGGGGCTGCCGAGCCCCTTAATTCTTTTTCTTTTTTTTTTTTTTTTTTTTTTTTTTGGTTTTTCGTGACAGGGTTTCTCTGTAGCTTTGGAGGCTGTCCTGGAACTCACTTTGTAGACCAGGCTGGCCTCGAACTCACAGAGATCCGCCTGCCTCTGCCTCCCGAGTGCTGGGATTAAAGGCGTGCGCCACCAACGCCCGGCGCCCCCTTAATCCTAATCGGCCAAGGATTCGAGTTTTGCATTGGGAGTCGAGGCAGGCTGAGGCACTTGTGAGCGGTCAGCCAGACATTTCCACAGGGGAATAGGGGCCGTAAGTTCCAAGAGCAAGGTGAAAGAGAGTGCTGGCTGTGTTAGATAGACAGTTGGTCATGCTGTTTCCAGTTGGTCATGCTGTTTCCCTCACCGGGGCTCTGCGGTCCTGCCTGATGCTCTCCTCCCGAGGTTTCATTGGTCATTTTCCAGTCCCTATTTCCATGGAGGTTGGTTTGTATTCACGAGCCAGCCTGTTGGGTCCTTCTTATACCAAGCTGTTCCAGAGGACGGTCCTCATTTCCAAGGCGGGGAAGGAAACTGAGTGGCCAGAACCTGTAGGAAACAGGAGGGGGTGACTGCAAGACTTGGGCAGGAGTTTGGCTCAGGCTACCAGAGCCCTCCAGGAGCTTTATGTCCTATGGCCCTTAACTAAGTGTCACAAACCATCATTACCTCTAAGGCATTTTTCTCATCATGTTCCCCCGCTTTCCCCTGGTAGGAATGCATGCTGTAAACCACAGGGTTGGAGGGAGAGCTGCTGCCATTCTGGGGCCTGGAATGGGTTGTCCTGGGGGTAGCTGTCCTGCTTTGCAAGATGCCTACCGCTGTTCCTAGCCGTTGCCATAGAACCAGATGCTGTCAGATGTTTCCTGGGAGACACTAACCTCTACCGGGCCATTGTTGAATAATATCGATGTGGACAAATGCTGGGATTTCTGAACTGGATGTACCATGTAACACCTGTAATTCTAGCACTCAAGGTCCCAAAGGAGGAGGCTCACATGTCTGAGACCCATATATGCTAACAAAAAGCTCTGGCTAGTCTGGCTAGTCTGAGCCAGGTCATCTCAAAGGAAAAGAAAAAAAATAAAGCAACGAAATAACTAGAAACAATGACCATAGCAACAGCAACAAAACAAAAAAACCGTAGACTTTTGGTCAGTCTCACTCTTAACCTGGGGATAATGATAGTGATCAAATTAAATTGGCTTGGTAGGGCATGGTGACACAGGCTTGTGAACCCAGCACTGGGGAGGTTTAGATATGATATGAAGATGAGAAGCTCAAGGACATTTCCAGCTACATACTAAGTTTGAGGCCAGCCTGGCCCACGTGAGACCCTATCTCAAAACAGAATAAAATTAATAAAAAATTATAATTTGGCCTTATTCCTGTTCTCTTGGCATCAGTAGTTCTTATTTTAACTCATCCCCTAGTGCTATAATTATTTTTTGTATGTTTTAGTATGAGGGGATGTGTTACTTTAGAGTTAGAATTGTATCCTTAGGCCCAGAATAGAACCTGGCACAGGTCTGAAAAATACCTAACCACAGCTAGGTATGACAGCACACACCTTTAATCCCAGCACTCAGGAGATAGAGACAGGCAGTTATCTGTGAGTTCCAGGCCAGCCAGTGCTACATAGTGAGACCCTGTTTCAAAACAACAAAAACCCTAGACACAAATTAATGCCTGAAAGAGAAAAACGGACTTGGGAGCTTAGGGCCTAGGGATCTGGCCCAGAGTGTCATTAAGCAAATTACCTTAGATACTTTTCTCACTTTTAAAACAGGGGGCTAGCCTGGTGCCTGAGCTCACCTGTAATCCTAACACTCAGGAGATGGAGGTAGAAAGGATTGCCCCAAGTTCAAGACCGACTTGGTTTGTACAGCAAACTCCAGGCCAGCCAGAGCTTCATAATGAGATCCTGTCTCAAAAAAAAATCAAAAATAAATAACTAAAAAGTAAAAATGAGGCTACATCATCTCCATCAACACATTCATGTATGTTACCAAAATTTGTAATTTCAAGTCAAGGGTCCTGTTGAGAAAATGCAGACAGATATCCTGGGAGCCTGGATGCTGAGTCAGAAATAAGCAATTTGCCCAATAACCTGGTTCCTCTGCTAAAAACCCAAGGTGTAATCCGGTAGTTAGGGAAGCTGACAGGGTAATCACAAACTGAAGGTCATTCCTGGCTACGTGGCAAGAGTCTATCTACAAGAAAAATCACACTAGAGAGACGTTAAATACAGATGGGAGCATGGCCGGGCACGAAACAGTGTTCTGTAAAGGTTGGTGCCAGATGTTACGAAATTGTTTCCTGAGAGAAACACATTCCCCCACAACATGCCGGCATCATTTTATTTTGTTTGGTGTGGTTATTTGAGGGGGGGTGCTTTTTTGAAACAGACTCTCACCCTGAAGTCTAGTCCAGCCTGGAACTCACTACATAGCCCAGGCTGGCCTTGAACTGGTAACAGTCCTGCCCCAGACTCCTGACTGCTAGGATTGCAGATGTGTGCCACCTGGCTCCCCTGGCCACTGTCAAAAAAAAAACAAAAAACAAAAAACAAAAAAAACCCCACCTCAGACAAATCCAGAGGCCTCAGAGCCAGCTGTGGGGGAGCATCCCTTAACCCAACAACGAAAAGAATCAGGAATTTTGTGAACCAGTTGTGTCACCCCGACTCCAGCAGGCCTGGCAGTGAGCTTCAGTTTTCTTCCACAGTAAAATGAGTTCAAGGATCCAGTCTGTGAACTGGAGTGTTGAGTAAGAAACCTTTGGGCTCAAAGATACAATCATTCCATCATTCCCAAGGGCAGGGTGAGAACTAGACAGGCATATGATGACACAGCTCTGCCCCCGTCCCATTGGGATACAAATGCCACCCAGACACCCACTGAGCCTGGCCTCTCTGTGTGCAGCTTTGTTCTCATGGAGGAGGCAGAAACAGAGAGAGGGCCCAGTAACTAAGCCAGGCCTAGCATGTGGAAGATCCCGCTGGTACCTCACCCTGACACCCTAGCAGGGTGTGAGAAAGTTCAGAGAGGAATAGTGGACATGGTGGCGGAGGGGGAGGGGGCTAGAATAAAGCAAAAGAGAAATGAGGACAGCTCTCTGGGCTCTGCGGCCTTGAGGGTGCCTCTATGCGAACTCCAGAAGCTCACCCAGCAGCCCAGATCTCGTCACCTCGGTGGATCTTGTCGCTGCGGTACGAAGCACGTTGCAGGGGAGGGCTGACAGAGAAGACCTGAGCACGGAGGAAGGGCCTCGGGAGTCCTGACACACCTGCAGTGTCGTGTGCCTGGCAGGGTGCCCACTCTCCTCATCCGATGTCACAGGCAGGCCCAGATAGCAGGGGAGGGGAGGGCTTTGGAAGGTCTCCGGTGTCAGGTGGGCAGCCTGGAGATGCAGGTGCTTTCCTGGAGGTGACCCTTCTGCTGGGCCTTCCTGTCCCTGCAGCTCTCTCTCTTCTCTCTCTCTCTCTCTCTCTCTCTCTCTCTCTCTCTCTCTCTCTCTCTCTCTGGAGAACAAAGAACTGGTAAATGGAGAGAAGGCCTCACAGGGATGGGGGGTGGGGGCCTGGTTCTCAGCTGCCTGGTCTCAGTTGGTTCCTCTCCAGGTAACTCTTCCAAGGGTCAAAAGCAGGCCTGGGGGTGTGGTGGGGTGTGGCTCAGTTGGTAGAGTTCTTGCCTAGTATGTACAAAACCCTAGATTTCATCCCCAGCACTGCATAAAAGAACACACATGGTGATACATAACCTTTAATCCCAGGACTCTGGAAGAGGAGGCAGGAGGATCAAAAATTCAAGGTCATTTTTGTTTTAGTACATATTGAGTCCGAGGTCTGCCTAGACTACATGAGACCCTCTCTCCAAACAGTAATAACAACAATGATCATTATTATAGTGATCAAAAAGGACAAGAGATATAAAAGGAGGATGTGTCCTAGGGTCCTAGAGTCTTGTTCCTTCAGCACTATAGAGCAGCCGGCAGTACACCTGAGGTGCAGCCCCTGTCTGGAGTTAGCAAGGCACTAAAGTTCAGAGGGCAGACCCCTGCCTGACCTGCTGCCTCAGATGCCATACTCCAGCCTCGGTTGGGTAAAGAGCAAGTTACTTCTCCTCTCTGGTCATTGGTGCCTCATCTCTGAACCAAGGGTGATATTAGGACCTGCCCAAAGGGCAGCTGTGGGGATTCAGAGACCCAGTCCATGTAGTTGCCCAGCAAGCCTTGGGTCCTTGGAATCTCACACCAGTGAGAACAGAGCAGTCAACCTAGGTGGGCCCTGAGCGGCACACCGTGAGGCCTGGCGTGTACCGGGGACAGAGCACTTTGCCAGCGGTGCCCTTGTGATGCTGAGGAGCTTTGGGGTCCCCACTGGGTGTAGGGCTGGGTGGTAGAACAGTCTGTACTAATCAGGAGGAGGGCGCAGAGGAGAAACCCAGTCCTATGCCTCTGCCCACGGCCCCACGACCTTCTGCGAGGCCCACGCAACCTAGTGTAGTCAGGCTCCGTGCACCTGGGCGTCAAGGAGGGGCGTCACACCTGAGACTAGATTCTAGCATGGGACAAGCTCCTGACCCCCAGGCACAGGGGAGGCAGAAACAGGTCAGTGGGCAGGTTTGGCCCTGTGGTGGGGAAAGGGATCAGAATATTGAGCTCATCTAGAAAATCGTGGGTCAGTGCTGTCTGGCCAAGCCAGAGACAGACAGACAGACAGACAGACAGACAGACAGACAGACAGACAGAATGCAACAGAAGCAGAGACAGAAAGAGAAAGGTTTGGCAGTAACTACCGAGAGAATGGAGCAATGTTATTTTGAGCATGTGCTATTGAGAGCTATATAATAACAGGTAAGAGAGGTGGTCTTGTTAAGAAAGGACAGGTGATTTGGGATTTGTTTGTTTGTCTGTTTATTGATTGTTTATTTGTTGAGCCAGGCTCTCACTCACTATGTATTCCAGGCTAGCCCTGAGCCCTTGGTCCTCTTACTCCAGTCTCCCAAGTGCTAGGATTACAGGTGTACAGTACCGCACCTGGATGTAGACAGATATTCTTTAAAGTTATTTTTTTAATATTTATTTATTATGTATACAGTGTTCTGGCACTACCTACACGCCAGAAGAGGGCACCAAACCTCATTATAGATGGTTGTGAGCCACCATGTGGTTGCTGGGAATTGAACTCAAGACTTCTGGAAGAGCTGCCAGTGCTCTTAACCTCTGAGCCATCTCTCCAGCCCTAAAGTTATTTTATTTTTAGTTCTCTCTGTGTGGGTATGTGCACATGATTGCAGATGCTCTCGAAGGTAGATAAGGTCCTCTGTAGCTGAAGTCACAGGTGATTATCAACTGCCTTCCACGAGTGCTGGGAACCGAACTCAGTCACCTCTTCAGCCCCCGAACAGAGAGACAGTCTTACACAAGTCAGAGCCTCAGAGCATGTGAGCACATCTGCTGTTGGGGAAGTCCTGTTATTTGCCTGTTATTTGTCAATAAAGTACTGTTGAGCCTATAGGAATCTAGATAGGTGGGGCTAGGAGTCCAGGAGGATTCTGGGAAGGAGAAACACAAGAGAGTCAACATGTAACGCCATGGGGGTAGGAAGCCTGGAACTATTCTCCAGTAAGAAACATACTTAGATTAACAATTATGGGGTAATTACTTAAGTCAGAGCTAGCTAGTAAGAAACAAGCAAGGCCAACAGCTTCATAATTAATATAGCCTCCTGTGTGTTTATTTGGGACTGATGCAGATCTGGAACCAGGCGAGTGAGAAGGCTCCTCTCAAGGAAAAGGTTTCCCTTAACATCTGCCATGAGGGTTTGTATCGGCAGCATCAGTAGGAGAGCCCACTCAGACTCAGTTAAGATGTAAAGGGCTGGGCAGTGCTACCACACCTTCAATCCCAGCGTGCAGGAGGCAGAAAAAGGTGGATCTCTGAGTTTGAGGCCAGCCTGGTCTACAAAGTGAGTTCCAGAACAGCCAGGGCTAGGCAGAGAAGCCATGTTGAACATGCCACCCCCCCCCCCAAAAAAAGATGCACTAGAGAATGCACACACACTATTTTCCCTCTTCACTGGGAGCCATTAGCAGCACCTCTGGGTTAGCAGTACAAGACAAAGTCTAGTCATCAGCCTTCTCAGATGAACCCTGCCATTTCTCTGCTTCACAAAGGGCAGAGTCAATAGCTGTCCCAGAACAAAGCAGTAAGTGTGCAAGCTGGGATATGAACCCAGGTCAGGTCGTGTATGAGCCATTGCTGAGATGCTGAGAGAGAGAGAGAGAGAGAGAGAGAGAGAGAGAGAGAGAGCTCGTGTGTGTGTGTGTGTGTGTGTGTGTGTGTGTGTGTGTGTGTGTGTGTGTGTGTGGTGGAGTGTGGGTCATGCGTGAATGCATGAGTCCTGGTGTCCTGGTACGGTTATTGTGACCTCTGCGATCTTCCCGGAGCTCCTTGCCCTCTAGAGCGCCAACACAAGGAAGGTCATGCTCACCTCTCAGGGTTCTTTTATTCACTCATCAGTGACCTATGGAGCTCTTACAGGATGTCAGGCCCTGTGAGGAGCTGGGGATACAGGGAACAGAGAAGGCAACTTTCTGCCTCTGTAGAAGATGCTCTTGGTTGGAATGAATGACGGACAGCAAGTAGGGTTTAGCCCAGGCATGGGAACTCGGGTGCACTGGAGGTTGGCTGCAGGTCAGGACTCTCCAGGCCCTACTTATATACCTCCCAACTTTACTTCCTCATGTCAGTGTCCAGGAGTTTGAGGTTTTTTTTAAATTTTGTCACTATTATTATCATCATTATTTTATGTGTGTGGGTGTATACTATGCTCTATATGTATACCTAATGCCTCAGAGACCAGAAGAGGGCACCTAATCTCCAGAAACTGGAGTTACAGACAATTGTCAGCTGCCATGTGGTGCTTGGTATTGAACTTGGGTCCCCTGGAAGAGCAGCCGGTGCTCTTAAGCTCTGAGCCATCTTTCCAGCCCTAGCCTGGGTTTTTGGTTTTTGTTTGTTTGTTTTTAAACTAATGGAGAGTCTATTCAGAGCTGTCCATAGCTGGCCTGAGATCTGATGGAATGGGATAGACACCCCATTTCTTTCCCCTGTGAGGGTAACAGAAGTGCAGGCGCCACCCCAGGTCCCAAAGATGCCAACTACTACCGAGTTCCTGCTGCCCACTGTGGTTCCACTCAGGGACATTACGTCACCTGCCTCCCTTCTCCAGTCTCCCTCTTCCAGTCCCCGCTGTGTCTTGGGGTCACCTTCCAGGAACCACCTGCCTTGGGCTGTTCCTAGGGTAGGCATCTGAGGGACCTCCATTGAGGACTTCTCTGTCCCTCTCCACCGCCCAACAGTTCCCCAGAGACTGCTTCCCAGAGCAAGAGGTTCCCGGTGTATACCAAGGAGCCTGGGGTGGGGGCAGCCAGGACCCAAGGCCAGGGTTTTCTCTTGCTGTAGTTGTCCCCGTGAGCTGGGTGGAGATGGTAGGGAGGGTTGAGAAGCAATGTTCTGCTTGCCTTCAGGATAGCAGGGTCTGGTCCAGGCTCTCTGCCAACATGAGCCTGGCAGATGAGGATGCAAAGGTCAGAGTTCAGATCAGGTGGTTGCTACTGATGGAGGAGGATTTCTTTTTTCAGTGGTGGTATCATCTTCTGGCTTGGGGAATTCTCTCTGCATGGCAGCCATTTCTGACCTCTGGCCACTAGGTGCCACTAGAAACCCCAGGCCATTGGAACAGTCACTCATGTTTCTGGACTTTGCCGGTGGTTCCCAGATGAAAACCACCTCACTACTTTGATGACAAGGGCATCCAAACCAGCCACCAAAGCCACCTCCGACTGCCTGTCTGTGACTGAGGCTGCAGCAGAGTGGAGCCTCTAAGCAAAAAGTCAAGACAGTAAGTGCTATGGAGGTGTGCCACAGGAAGGCAGTGCCAGGGATGCTCAGGTCTCCAGGTACATCAGCAGAGGGGGTCCACCCCTGTGCACCATCCACCTGTGCCACGATGCTTTGACCCAGCAAGAGGCTGCTCCCCAAGGATGACAAGGCCGAGGGCTGACCTGAGCTGAGGTGTTTGGTGTAGGAGACTTGGAGGCAGACATCTCTGGGCCCCCTTAAAGGGACATCCAAGAAGAGACAGAGTTTGAATCTCTGTTTTCAACTTTGCAAGAAGAGAAGGAATGAGAGAGAGAGAGAGAGAGAGAGAGAGAGAGAGAGAGAGAGAGAGAGAGAGAGAGATCTAGACTGATTAAACAGCTAAATTGAAAAAGGAACAGACTCAATATTTCCAACCTGTAGTCATATAGCATGATGGCAAAGGGTGAATCCTGACCCCAGAGTGCCTGGTTAAAATCCTGGTGCCACCACTAAACATCTGTGTGACTTCTGGAAGGTTATTGTCCTCTCTACCTTCATAGCTACTGTCTATAAAGATGGAGTGGGAGCCAGTACCTTCCTGTAGATATTATTGGAAGATGCAACGGACAGCATAGTGTTTAGAATAGGAGACTAGGAATGTGGCTCAGCTAGCATATGTGAAGCCATGGGATTGGTCTCTGGCACCACATAAAAACAAGTGTGGCAGCACACATGTAAGGTAGAAGCAGCAGGAAGGTCAGGTGTTCAAGGCTAGCCTCAGCTACATGAGACCCCGTCTCATAAATAAATATATGTGTTAGAATAATGCTTGGGAGGTGGGAGGTATTAGTTCATAAAGTGCTTTATAGGGCCAGGTGTGTATTGTACACCTTCAAACCCAGCACGCAGGAGGCAGAGGCAGGCAAAACACCCATGCATATAAAATCAAATTTTAAAAATATTTTTAAAGGCAGATGGCAACTGAAGAATGACAGCCAAAGCTGTACTCCAGCCTCCGCAGGCATGTACACATGTGCATCTGCGCACGCCTACATACACACATAGGCGCACACACATGCACACGCGCACACACACACAGAGTTAAAAAAAATAGGCCTGGGGTAGTGGTGGTGGTGACGCACACCTTTAATCCCAGCACTCTGGAGGCAGAGACAGGCGGATCTCAGTGAGTTCCAGGCCAGCCTGGTCTACAGAGAGTTCCAGAAAAACCAGGGCTACACAGAGAAACCCTGTCTCAAAAAGAAAAAACAAAACAAAAGAAAAACAATAACAACAAAAACAAAACAAAAAAGGCTTGAAAAACGACCACTTTGTGAACACAGTCCATTTTCTGCCTAGTTGCACCCAAACCTATCCACTGAGGCCCTAAAACTTTCCAAACACATACTCCAGAGGCGAGGGTGTGGCACAGCAGGCCAAGGGCTCCCTTCCAGGTCACAGGGGATAGACTCTGACTTTGGTCATTCCACCTTCCCTTTCTCCCCAGACTTCGCCTGCCCCAGATCCCGGCTCTCCCCAGGACAAGGGGGCAACATCAGACTTCGCTGGAGACCGTCTTCAGACAGAGCCATGTCAACCCAGGAGTCAGACCCTCCCTGAGCCAGCAGCTCTGACTCTGGGTACAACCACCCCTCCTAGGACCCTGGAACGCACACCCCTGCTGCTGGAGCTGAAGAAGCTGCCAGGATTGGCCAACACAGACTTGAGTGCCCCGAACCCCAACATCCAGGTGAGACCATAGAAGAGTTGTTTGTCTAGGGAACCTCTGGAGAGTGTTAGGCTGGAGACTGAGTCTCTCCTTACCCTCTGCTGGCTGTGTGCAGACCGTGGACTCATGCAGCGTGAGAAGAGTATCTGCCCCTCTCCTTGCCAGAAAGTCCCTTGGCTCCTGAGCCTTGACCCTGGATATGGCAGGGGACAAATCCAGCAACCTGGTAGGGCTATCTTGAGGGCTGAGTACCAGGACACCCTGCCCCTGACACTGCCAAGCATCCGAAATGTTTGGCCCCCAAGCTTTTCTGCATGTAGGACAGGGATTCAGTTCAGAATGGGGGGTAAAGGTGCTGGAGCATGAGAAAACCCTCAGTCCCAGGAAAGCCAGACAGAAGTCCGGCACTGTCTTCTACTGCCTATCCTGAATCTTCAAGAATAGCAGATTTGTCTGTGTAGCAGAGTACTTCAATCAAAGGAAAGAAAGACGGGATGGAGAGATGGCTCAGAGGTTAAGAGCACAGATTGCACCTCCAGAGGTCCTGAGTTCAATTCCCAGCAACCACATGGTGGCTTGCAACCATCTGTAATGAGATCTGGTGCTCTCTTCTGAATATAGTATAGACAATAAATAAATAAATCTTAAAAAAAAAAAGAAAGGCTGTAAAAGGGGCAGGATGCTCTACGATTGTTTTACAGACTGCCTGTCTACCTGTATTAAAATAACATATACACATCTACATACAAAAACCACAGGTGTCCCTCCTAGTGATGTAATGCAGGCCATTTTTTTTTTCTTCAAGACAGGCTCTCTGTGTAGCCCTGGCTGTCCTGGAGCTCACCCCTGTAGAGATCCGCCTGCCTGTGCTTCCTGAGTGCTGGGATTAAAGTCGTGCACCTCCCCATCTGGCTCACTTTCTTCTTTATATTTTACTATTCCCCCCCCCCCAATTTTGCTCTGTGACTTCCTGTCATTTGAAAGCACCTGAGAATAATGTTTTTCTGGTCCCTGAGGCCAAGCAGCTCAAGTGTGGTAGAGGCAGAATTCCAAACAGTTTCTCCTGAACTAGTTAGTAGGCCTGGCACCTGTTGGATTTGCCCCCCCTCACTCCCCACCCCCCCCACTCCCCCCACCTGCATCTGCATCCAGGTGACAGGAGGTCCTACCCAATGCCCTTAGTTCCCTGAGAGGCCAAGGTCAGGCAGGGAAGACAGTGGCAAGGAAAGGCCTTCTTGGCTTCTGGCTCAAACCCATCTCCTCTTTGGAGTCCCGTGCTGAGCCTGTCTATCTGGCACGTGTCTGTCCTTCCCACAGGTGACCATCGAGGTGATGCAGGACCCCCAGGCTGAGGTGGAGATGGACTTGCCCTCTGAGCCCAGCAGTCTCTGGCCCCTGCATGCCCCCAGCTGGTTGCCCACCAGGGAGTTCTTCTGGCCCCTCTTCTGGGGCTACCAGGAAGGCGAAGACGGAGGCTCCAGCCTCAAAGACACAGCCCCAGGGGAAGTGCAGGAGGAGGAAGACAAGGGTTATGCTGCAGAGTACGGTGATGGGGAGGACCAAGAGGGCAGCGAAGAGGACAAGGATGAGGAGCTGTGGTCCAGTGGGGCCACCGACAACTGGGACTACGGCTGGTCGGGTCCTCAGGACCAGGACTTCAAGGAGCCAGACAGCTATGGTGAGTGGCTGGTTTGGCATCCTCAGCCGCTGCCCTGCTAGGCTCTGAGTGGGAATGAGTTGGAGGGGGAGGGAAAGAGCTTCCCAGGCCAGGAGAACTGGGCAGGCCAACAGCCTAGGGCTATGTAGATGCCATTGAAAGCCTCAAAGATTTCTTCCCGCCAATATTTGACTTGCTCTGAGCTCCTCTAAGCAAAAGCTACTTAATAGCATAAATATTTATATTTATCAGTTTCTAAAAGAAAAAAAACTGAAAAATACTCTTAAGTTTTGCCACTCACAGTGCATCTCATTTTGAGATTGTGAGTTTGACTGCTGACCCTGCAGCTTAGCCGCTGAGTGTCCCCAGGCAAGTCACTTAACTTCTCTGTGTCTTAGCATTGTCATCTCTGAAACAGGTAATCATGTGTCTAAACGACACGGGGCTGGTTGTAATGGTAAATGAACACACTTATATACAGTCAGGTATAGTAGTACACCACCCCAGCCTCAGCACTCAGGAGCCTGAGGCAGGAGGCGGAGAGTTAGAGGCCAGCCTGGGCTAAGTAGTGAGTTCCAGGCCTACCTGAGATACCTTGAGATCTCGTCTCAAAAAACAGAACAGCTGGGCTGTTGAGATGGCTCAAGGAGTGAAAACCTTGTAATGCAAGGACCAGAGTTCAACTCTCATGGAAGACAGCCAGGCGTGCACCTTTAATCCCCACACTTGGGAGGCAGAGGTGGGTGAATCTTTGTGAGTTGGAGGCTAGCCTGGTCTACAGAGTGAGTTCCAGAACAGCCAGGCTTACACAGAGAAACCCTGTTTGAAAAACAAAAATAAAACAAAACAAAAAGCCAGTTGAGTGGCCGCCCACCTGTATTTCCAGCACATTAGAGGTAGAGTCAGGCAATCCCAAAGTTAGCTGCCTGGCTAGCTGTGTGGCAAGCTCTGGGTTTTAGCAAGGTGCCCTGTGTCCATATGTAAGGTAGAAAGTTATTTAAAAAAAAAAAACACTCTGCCAGGCGATCGTAGCTCATACCTTTAATACCAGCACCCAGGAGGCAGAGAAAGGTGGATCTCTGTGAGTTCAAGGCCAGCCTGTTCTACTGAGAGAATTCCAGGACAGCCTCCAAAGCTACAGAGAAACCCTGTCTCAAAAACAATCAAACAAAAAAAAAATACCCCATGTCAACCTTGGGGCTACCCACACAAGCACACATGTACCCCCCCAAGCATATATACCTCCACATATATAAGCACACAAGCATGCCACATACATACATATGCTAGCAATGTGTACATAGAGTGTCAGCCCGTGATAATGAACTTGCTGGCTCTCTTTATACCTCCTGCTGGGACGGCCATTTGTACCCTCCTTGCTGTACCTGCCATTGCCTCTGGGCACAGTCTCACCCTCTCTGCCGGAAGCCCTGAGGTCTTGTTATCGGACTGCTGAGGTGCCAGGGATTAAGACTAAATCAGACAAGCTCTTCCCAACTTCCTAAACTGATGTAAACAGACCTTCCAGGAGTCTCAGCTTTTCTCCCATTCATCGTCCTCCAACTCTTGGTGCCAGCTGGCCTGAGGCCTGCCTTGGAAGCTGGTGAGAACAGTGTGCCAGACCTGTGGAGCTCCACACGGAGACTCAGATACAGGCCTGGGCCTGGGAGTTTGAGCTCTCTCAGGTAAAGAAAGGGAATCAGGAGAATCTTTAATAACCCCAGACCTAGGGAGGAAGTATCAGTCACCCTTGGTTTCCAACTCCTCCTCTTCGTTATCATTGGAGACAGAGTAGCCTGGGGCCCAGGCTGGCTTCAAACTTAACAGTCAGGGGTGATTTTGAGTTCCTTACCTTTCCTCCCTTGTCCCTGCCGCTGGGATGACAGTAAGTCACCACCACACCTGGTGCTGGGGATGCAGCCCAGGGCTCTGTGCATGCTACGAAGGCACTATAGACACAGGGGGTGGTTAGAGTGTGTTCTGTCTCTATAGTACTTGCTGATGTGTTTGCACAGCTGTTCACTGCACAAGGACATCTAGCTGAGGGGATTGTGTGTGTGTGGGTGCAGCTGGAAGTCAGTTGCGCTCCGTACATTGGCCAGGGATAAACTAGTGCCTTTTGCTAGTTTGCACCAGTGTGCCCTGAGGAGTGAGTATGCTCATCCAGGTCCTTTGTTTCAACTCAGACTATGAGCCTCAGGAGGAGTGGAGCACCTGGTCTCCCTGCAGCGGGACCTGCAGCAGCGGCAGCCAGCAGAGATCTCGGCCCTGTGGCTATGCCTGTACTGCCACAGAGTCCCGCGTCTGCGACCTGCCCCCCTGTCCTGGTGAGATGAGCTCCAGCCCCTGCATGGGAGTGGCTAATACGGCTCAAAATGGGATGTTTGTAGGAGGGGTGGGCTTCGGAGCGGGGTATGGGAAGCTCACGGATGTGGTGGTCCTGTCCCAGGCCTGTCCCAGATGCTGTGGGCACTGAGAGCCTAGTGAGGGCTGGGCATCCCTATCAGGAGCACACAGGTGCCCTGGGGCGCCACCAGCCTGGCCTCCTCTCTTCCCAAAGGCACCGAAGACGAGCACACCCTGGGCTCTCCCAGTGAGGGGTGGCAGCCCCTAGCCCACAATGCTACGGATATGCTTGATCCAGGTTAGTGGGGAGGGGTGCTAGACCTTGCTGCTGGGTCTTGGGGAGCCTCTCTCTTGGGAGGACGGGCATCATTGTGTAGCGGGAATCACTGAGCACATCTTCCTATGGGAGAGATTGAGTTAATCATCCTTGCCTAGTTCCGGGTTCCTACCAGGAGGGAAGGGTCTCGGTGAGAACCCCAGAGCTAGGAGATGCTGGGGGTAAGGGGAAGTGGGAGCTTCTACTTCTACTCCATGGTTACATTTTGGAGCCCCCTGGCAGACTCTGTTTAGGAGTACCTGTCGAATGAGCCAGGGTTCCAACACCCAGGGCTGCTCCATGAAGACCGGCGGGACAAGGGTCGTGCTTTCGCAGTATACTCCCTATTGGGGTTCCTGGGCCTCACCTGCACCCCCAAAGGCATGGCACCCCCAAAGGCAAAGCTTAAATGGAAGCTTCCTGAACCTGTGTCGTGTACCTGGGCCTACAGTGAGGCTGAGCATCCCTGGAGGAGGCATGGCATCTGTCCTCAAAGAGGTCAGGTCTCATGGGGACACGTGGTCTGCCTGCGCGAGCACAGGGCTTCAGAGTGTAGTGTGAAGGTCGGAGAGTCCAGGGGAAAGGGGCGCTCTTCTGAGTGGCCAGATTCTGAGGTTACATTTTGCCCGGGAAAGAGGGGAGGAGGCAACAGGGACAGGGAGTCACAGAAGCACAGAACAGTTGAGCAGTTCATCAAGGGCCCAGTCCTTAAGAAAGGCAGTGGTGGCGCACACCTTTAATCCCAGCACTCGGGAGGCAGAGGCTGGAGGATCTCTGTGAGTTCGAGGCCGGGCTGGACCAACAGCCTCAAAACAATACAGAGAAACCCTGTCTCGTAAAACCAAAAAAAAAAAATATATATATATATATATTGTCCTGCCAGACAGTGGTGGCACATGCCTTTATTCCCAGCACTTGGGAGTTGGAGACAGGTGGACCTCTGTGAGTTCGAGGCCAGTCTGGTCTACAGAGCTAGTTCCAGAACAGCTAAAGCTGTTATACAGAAAGACCCTGTTTCAAACAAAACAAAACAAAACCCTGTTGTCTTTTTTAGCTGGAGAGATGGCTGAGCTGTTAAGAGCACCAAAGTTCAGTTTCCAGCACCCACCGGGGGCTTCAGTCTCAGAGGATCTCATACTCTTCTGCCCTCCATGGGCTCTGTGTGTACATGATGCACAGACATACATGTAGGCAAACACCCATGCACATAAAATAAAAAACTAAACTGTTGCCCTTGGTTGGAGATGTAGCTCAGCTGGTAGGAAGCTAGTCTAGCACTCATGGAGCCCGGGTTCAATCCCAGCAGGGCATAAACTGGGCATGGTAGGGCATGCCTGCAAGCTCAACACTTGGGAGAGGAGGCTCAGCTACATAGCAAGCTTGAGGCTAGTTTGGACTATGAGACACTGACCTGTAATATAAAAATAGAAAAAAAAACCCATAAACTTGTTCCTATCACATTCCACTTACCACTGCCTGCTCCCATGATCCCAAGATCTTTCCCACAGTCCAGAAACTGAAGAGATGATGCCTGTGTCCCGCAGGGTGCCGCCAGCCCAAAGCTAGTGTCTCTTCTGAGTCATAGCTTCCTGCTTCAGGTGCCTGGATGGTGTGGGGTGTCCCTTTTCTGCTCTGTGTCCTTCTTGAGTCCCTCATTTCCAACCCAGGGGCCCTCCTGAGCCAAGCCTTTGCCTCAGCTGGGAGCTTGGACTTCCTTTCCACGCGACTGACCTTGATCAGCCTCTTCCCTGCCATGGGGCTGGCAGGCAACTCTGACCAGCCCTCTCCTGTGCCTCCTTACCCTCCGCAGATGTAGACAGCTGTGAGAAGTGGCTGAACTGCAAGAGTGACTTCCTAGCGAAGTACCTGAGCCAAGTGCTCCAGGACCTGCCCAGCTGCCCATGCGCATACCCTCTGGAGGCTGTGTACAGCGCTGTGAGCCTGCCGGATGAACATCAGGGCCGAAGCTTCCAGTGGCGGGATGCTAGTGGCCCTCGTGAGCGCCTGGACATCTACCAGCCCACTGCACGCTTCTGTCTTCGCTCCATGCTGTCAGGCGAGAGCAGCACACTGGCTGCCCAGCACTGCTGCTACGATGAAGGCAGCCGGCTGCTGACCCGAGGCAAGGGGGCGGGAGCTCCGGACCTAGTCAGCACCGACTTTTCTCCGGAGCTGCACTTCAAGGTGGATACGTTGCCCTGGATCCTGTGTAAGGGGGATTGGAGTCGCTACCACACCGTGCGCCCCCCCAACAATGGCCGGGCCTGCGCAGATAACCCACCCGAGGAAGAGTACCTGGCCCAGCTGCAGGAGGCCAAAGAGTACTGAAGCTGGACTGGAGAATGGCGCTTCTGCCCTTTATCCCGCCCCTGCTGGGACTGGGCAGGCGTTAGGGTTCATCTGAGAGGCCCTCTGGCCTGCATACCCCCTCTTGTGACCCTGAGTCAGGAGAGCCCAGGTATCTCAAGGATTGGTGAGAAGGTTGGAGGGTGTGTCAGGGTTAGGGCCGCTGTGCTGCATTGGGAATGTGTCTGTGTCTGAAGGAGAGGAGTTGTCCCAGTCTGGCCTCGCGCCCCTTCTGCCGCTCTCTCTACTCAGGATTGAGACAGAATGTTCCAGATGCACCCAAGTTCCCAGGATCTGCTGTGAATTCCCCAGCTCCCCCAGCCCCCCATGGCCAGCTGAGGAAGAGCACAGGAAGGGGGTAGGTAGGGGAGGACAGACTTTCGTCTGGCCCCACAGCTGCCCTTTGCTGTGCTAGCAGAGCCACGGCGACCACCCCTCCTCATCAGGGGGCTTGAGAGGACAGCTGGGCGTTGATTTTAGGCAGGGAACCACCAGCTGTCTCTGGTCCTTCTTGGTTCCATGGTCCCCAGATGGCAGGAATGTGTGGGCGGCCACTGCCATGGCAGCCAGGTGTGGGATGGGCTGAGGAGGGTGTCGTGCCTGTAGTAGATGCTAAACCAGGAATGTGACAGGGTAGGCAGTCCTAATGTTCGATGTGGGCTTCTATGTGGTGTCGGTACCCACACCAGCTTCGAGTCCCCACATGGCGAGGCAAAGCCCTGGAATTGGACTTGGAGTCGGGAGATGCGCGCTTCAGCTCCCAGCACACCTGTGCCTCTTCCCAGACACTTCTTGTCCCCCAAACAACCACACTTCTTTGTCTTCCCTGGAGGGAAATGTTGAAGAACCAATGTTTGGTCTCCATTCACAAATCCTCCAAAAGGGCTTGGAAGGGGACTTGAGTTCCAGCCCCCTTCACGGCTGTCTGGAAGCTGTCCTGGAATCCGCAACAATAAAGCACTTTATTTTCACATACTGTTTGATAAAGGATGCCAGGATGAAGGGTGTACCTTGCTTATCACCCAGGTCAAGCTCCCCTTGGCTGGACTTGTGATCTCCAAGCCAACTCCTTTCCTTTTCCTAAAGCAGCTGCTCTTGGGGCTTCCTGAATGCAGGGACTAGACCTGTACCCTTGCAACAGCACCCCGCTGTCTTCCCTGGCGTTTGGGGAAAGGGCAGAGTTATGGCATGGTATATCTTAGTGTGGGTCTAAGCAACAGTCTAAATCTGTTCTGGTGCAAATAGAAAACTAATGGGCTGGAACAAAGCATCTCAGGTCATCAGATGGGAGTCAAATTCACTCCCTTTTTGTTACCTAAGAAGTTCAGGGCGTATCCAGAGTCCTAGCCCTTGGGAGGCTGAGGCAGGAAGGTTATGAGGTTTGTTATTGTTGTTTGGTTGGTTGCTTTTTGTTTGGGTTTTTTGTTCTGTTTTGTTTGGTTGGTTTTTTTGAGACAGGGTTTCTCTGTGTAGCTTGAAAGCCTGTCCTGGAACTTGCTCTATAGACTGGACTGGCCTCGAACTCACAGAAATTAGCCTGCCTCTGCCTCCCAAGTGTTGGAACTAAAGGAGTGCACCACCATGTACCAGTGTTTTTTGTTTGTTTTTGTTTCATTTTGTTTTTTGAGACAGGCTTTCTCTGTGTAGCCCTGGTTGTCCTGAAACTCACTCTGTAGACCAGGCTGGTCTTGAACTCATAGTGATCCACCTGCCTGTGCTATGCACCACCACTGTCCAGCTGGGTTTTATGAATTTTAAATTATCTCCCTGCCTATACATCAAAGTAACTTACCAACTGTCTGCCAGCTTGAATGGATTCAGGAGGTAGAGATACTAGCTCCTTATGTTAAAGGTCAAGTCCACCATGGAGAAGGTAGACTTTACTGCTGTTAGTCATTTTAGAGCCTGAAGGGACTGATGGGCAGGACGTGTCTGTCTTGAGAGGACCCCTCCCACCTCTGACCATGGTCCTTCTGCAGGAACATGCGGTTAACAGGCCTGGAAATTCTGGGAGCAGGCTCAGGGTGAGAGGGGAGCAGACCAGCTAAAAATACTAAAAATACAGGTGACCGGGAGAGCATCTTGAGTTACTTACTGAGACTCTGTTACCCCCCAAAACAAAACAATAGATGCTGGGGGTGTTGCTCAGTGGTACAGCATCTGCATAGCACGCATGAATCCCTGGATTCGGCCCCCAATAACAAACACATGACACAGGTCTATTTTGTTTCAGACTGGGATCTTTCTGGCTTGTCCAGGCTGGCCTCCATCTCTTTGGCTCAAGTGAGTTTCCCCTTCCACCCTCTGCATAGCGTGGGCTACAGGCATGGTCTGCCACCTTCTGCTTGTTTTAATTATGTTTTAGCAGAAACTCTAAAAAACAAACAAACAAACTAGAAACATCCCAGCTTCTCTCCGTAGGCACTGTCAATTCAGCTCCTTCCTGAATTGACCCTTAAACATCATCAAAATCTAATCAATACCCACTGGTTGTCTATTGGGCTCTACATGCCTCACTAAATTGCTACCACGTTGAGCCCCAGGTGAGAGAAACGAAAGAAATGAAAGAGAGGATGTTGGGAGGCTTGCAGGCGAGTAGCCAGTCAGCTATGAAATAAGTGTTTATTCAAGCTATGCAAAGGGGAAAGAGGCCCTGTGCAGGTGGCTACCGGTTTATGGAACACCTGTGCAGGGGGAAGCACCAGTGGGGCGGTCGCTGAACCTCTAAAGGGGTGGCTTAGGAGGGACTTGAAACCAGAGAAGGCCCTTCCTCTTTAACTCAGCCTCATGTCATGTACCTGTCTGACTCAGCCACTGCGCACCCGCACCCAGCAATACGAGCCCCGTGAATACCGCCACTGTGTAGCCCCAGCTGCCAAGGTAGTGTTGCTCCCTCTCTCTCTCTGGTTTTGCTTCATGCAGGCCCCCAGGCTAGGCAAGGCAGATAAGTGGGAAAGAGCCAGCAGCAGCACAGAAGTAGGTAGGTGGTCCAAGACCGGAAGCCTCTGGATTCCTCTACTACAGGTAGATTATAGTCCCATGTTTGAAGTGCTCCTAAAGATGCAATCCTGACACTAGAGTGATCTAAGACACAGACATGCAAATGTGTTGGAGCACACATCTATACTTAAGAAGTCAGAATCTCTATAGTCTGAGATTCTGTATTCAACAGGTTCCCCCAGGCATGGAAACCTGGAAACCTGTTGTTCTGGGGGTTGCAATTTGAACTAAACCAGTATGTTATAATATCAGTTTTGAGACAGAATGTCATTGTGTACCCCTGGCTGTCCTGGAACTCACTGTGTAGACCAGGCTGGCCTCAAACTCAGAGGTCACATACCTCTGCCTCCCCAGCACTGGAATTAAAGGTGTACACCACTACCCAGCTCTTAGTAGTCATTTTAAGGGAAAATACCTGAGGTTGGTTGCAAGTCCAGAAGTCAGTAGACACTAGGTGTTGTCAAGTGCATTCTTTTTATTTAGTTTTTAAAGACATGGTCCCTTCTGTAGCCCTGGTTAACCTCGGGTACTTACTCTCTATGTAGACCTGGGTGTGTGGTGATTGGTCCTTCTGCCTCTGCCCCAAGAGGCGCAATTATAGGTGTACACTATCACACCCCACCTCATTCACGCCTTGCATAGAATCACAAGGTACCTGTTAGACCCATTTTATAGACGGGGACATTTGCCTTGTTGGCTAGGAAGTGGAATATTCACCATTCAAAACATGTCGGTGGTTTTATTTTTCACCATGGCATCTTGGAATCAGAATCTAACTGAAATGTTACTAGTGACAGCAGTCAGGAACTGGCTGGGGCTATGAAGCTGACATCCGACAGGCACGCTGGTGTGTTGGGTTTTAATAATCATCTCTTCACCTTTTCCTCTACACTGAAACTGAGAGACAGAGGTGGCAGGGCTCTGGGTTTTTTTGTACTGTATTAGCAAGTGCTCATTAGCCGGGCTGTGGTGGCGCATGCCTTTAATCCCAGCACTCGGGAGGCAGAGGCAGGCGGATCTCTGTGAGTTCGAGGCCAGCCTGGTCTACAGAGTGAGTTCCAGGACAGGCTCCAAAGCTACAGAGAAACCCTGCCGGGGGTGGGGTTGGGGGTGGGGGTGGGGGTGGGGGTATGCTCATTGAATTAAAGTGCACTCCAATGTCTCTATCAAGTGTTTTTGTCCCTTGCAGCTGGATGGAATGCCAATTAGGTGCAATCCTAGTCTATCACTTATTTGAATAATTTAAGTCAAGATGATCCGATCTTCTGTTTTAACTATAAAATTCTGCCAAGTCATGTAGGATTAGCTTTCGGGCCTTGTCACTGCCTAATGAGATGGGAGATGAGATGTCTTAACAGAGTGCTGATTCATGATGGGGTAGGGGTAAACTGAGGCAGGCCTGACTAGGAGTGACTGCTTACTCAGTTCCCTTTTCCCGCCATGTGGATCCTGCTAGAAAGGACTTATAGCACTTGACCTGGAGCTCAGTGCACCTGTACTCCAGAGGACACAGACCTCTTCCTTTTTCTTGGTGGCATACTAAGAGGCCTGGAATTTTCTACTCCAGGAGGGATACTTGACACACTGGAGACGCAGCTGCTTCTCTGGGGATGAACACACAAGGCAGTAGATACAAGGTTACCACCAGCTCTACTGTTAGTCTACATTCCAAATGCCAGCCATGTTCAGTCCGGCTGTTGGGATTCCTGCTCTTAACCTAAGCAGCCAGAGGCAAATATATGTTAACATATATATTAAAAGGATCACATGGCAGCATGCATCTGCAATTTCTGCACTCAGGAGGCTGAGTTCAAGACCAGCCTGTGTTATGTAGCAAGATTTTGCCTCAAAAACAAAATTAAAAGGAAAAATCCAAAGATTAAGTTTTACGAAATGGGTGACGGGGATGTCACCGGGCTTTACGAAGATCAGAGAGTCAATGCAAGTAGACTGGGACCCAGTAGCTCTCTACAAAGCCACCACTGCTCATCTTCCGCTCTATACAACCTGCACCTGTGGTCATCTCTTTGCAGAGGGGTCAGAGTTCAAGACCATCTTCACCATCTTGGTACCCACTTCCTGTACCTTGTAAGTGCTGTTTATTCCAGAGTGTTAGCTGTCCCCTATGTGTCAGTAAGTGTGAAAATAAACCAGCTCAAGAATCCTGCTGTCATCAACAGCTACTCTTTGTGCTTTTCAATTTTTTTTTTTTTTTTTTTTTTTTTTGGTTTTTCGAGACAGGGTTTCTCTGTGGCTTTTGGAGGCTGTCCTGGAACTCGCTTGGTAGTCCAGGCTGGTCTCGAACTCATAGATCCTCCTGCCTCTGCCTCCCGAGTGCTGGGATTAAAGGCGTGCGCCACCAACGCCCGGCCGTGCTTTTCAAATTTTTATTCTTTGTATGGGTGTTTTGCCTGAATGCTATCTATGGAAAACACACGCAGAGGCCGGAAATGGGGCATCAGATCCCCTGAGAATGGAGTGAAAGATGGTTCTGAGTTGCCATGTGGGTGCTAGGGTTTGAACCCTGGTTCTCTGCAGGAGTAGCCAGTATTCTTAATCACTGAGCCATTTCTCCAGCCCAACGTTTTTGAGATAGGGTCTCATATAGCCCAGGCTAGCCTTGAACTCCTAATTCTGCTTCTACCTCCGGAGTCCTGGGATTACAGGAGTACACTACAGTTCTCAGCTGTCTTTGCAGAATGGAACCTTCCTTCAGTCCCTTGTATTTGTTCAAATTCAAAACCTTCAAGGAACTCAACTCCAGGCTCCCAGTCAACAGATTATGAGAAATGCATGCTTTTAAAATTCGGTTTATTTAGCGTATGTACACATAAAAGAGAAATCACCCTCAGATCCCACCCAGCAGAAAACATGCACAAACCCAAGGTATACGTGGAAGGGAGGGGCCCCAGCCCCAAGTTAGCAGTTGGGATGGTGCAATCCTGTGAGTCACAAGCCCATCACGAGCAGG